ACTATGACATATATGCTGTAGTGAGTTCACGCTACGACCAAATCGAAGGCCTATTGATCAATGTCATTACCTCTTCAACTCTACCAGTCCAGCGTTCTGATCTTGGGGTTTGTACCCATTACCAGCATCGGTGGATCCTGCAATAGCCCCTAAATGTCTCCAACAGCACTGGTATCGGTTTCATATTGCTTTGTATCGTACCTATATATATTGATAATAGTTGTGTGCACGCGGAAATTAAAGAAGGAACGATCGTATCTCATCCAGGGCAAGTTTTATGTAAGAGGTACACATTTATGATGTCAATCCAGAACCTTCGGACAGATCAAATGCATCAGCGTGTTATTACAAGGAAGAAACAAACAACTTCGTTAGAGTATGCTTGAAGCATCACTGCACCTTTTCCTGCTTGCAATACGCCTGAAGAAGGCTAGAAGCGCTGGAATTGCCAAAATATTTGTCAAACAGGTAATGTAAGTTCACAATTGTCTATTGAAATGTCTTAATATGGTAAAGAGTTTAGAGCTCATTATCAGGAATCAACAATCCTGTCCGACACTAAGACAATTGCAACAGATTCACTACAAACCAACAACAACACAAAGTAGTAGCAACACCGTAACACCAAAAAATTAACATCAGTGGCTACAGCATCAGCTTCGGCAGCAAACAATAGTTGCAACTTTGTTTAACAACAGCAACATTATTAAAGTACTTTTCCCTAATCATCTTGTCTTTTTCAGTTCCCAATATTTTAATTAATCGATCACTTATTTTTCTTACTCTTTGAATTAAATCGAAAAGTGTGTGTGCACTTACTGGCCACGTGCATAAAACTAAAAAAATACGCAATGCTGCATTAACGACACAATGAAATAACTTTAGCGGTCGAGATGAGGGTAGATTATCATAAACATTAGGCGTTCAATTCACATATTTAACAGGTTGCCCATATATATCATGAAACATTGAAGCGACCAACATTTGAACTAGATACCGATTTATGCACCATGACTTGATGTTAAGAGGTAGTTTAATGTACATGAACAATTATTAAATTACAATTGAACTTGGATTAATTGTGTTAATCGCTCAAAAAAAAGCCTGAAACGCATTGCAACTTTGTGATATTGACATAAAATTGTGGCAAATGTCAAACTGAAACTATATATGTGTCACTGCAAATCTGGTCATTCGTTCCTCATGAACTTACCCTAATCAGGCGAAATTTTGTGTTAAATCTCATTTATCGACAAAGTATCCTTCGTCTTCGACAGCTGGGCATTCGTTGTCAAGTTTAGTCATTGGTCTTATAAATCTTAATTTTTTTTAATTTTAACCTGTATTACATGAACGGAATACGAGCTTACCCATAAGTTTAAAAAAGTGTATACAGGTACAATGCGGTCAAAAGTTTCGAAATCACACACACCGGGCGAACACATCTAACTGTTCAAGTAAGTTATAATCTTAAAACAGCGTCCTTCCAGCCCTTAGTAGCCATGTACCGGACAAATTACGCGCTTAACATCATGACTATCTAGAAGCCTACAGTAATGAAAAAAAATTGTGTAAAATGTGTTTCAGTAGATTACTACACGTGTGTAGGAATTTAAAAAAACCTGATTAAAGGCTTCTTCAATAAAACACGGCTGGACGCATTTCGGCCCCCTGACGGGGACTCGTCAGTGGAACTATTACTCGATAAGCAAATTCTAATCCACCTTGCGCAAACTCTAATGAATATCTCCTTAGAGATGATTATACGTCACACATCTAAAACACAAAAGATACCCCAACTGGCAGTTGGATCGTTTAACAAGAAATGATTTCTATAACAGCTAGTTTCTAACGCTCTACTTCTACGGCCGAGCTATTAGATTTTTGTCAATGCTCGTCATTAATTTTGACGAATGACTCAAAGAGCACGTAGCCTCCCTTAGCAAGTGCTCCAAATGGTCTTTGGTAACTGCTGATCTCCCTTTTTTTAATCTTCTGATCTTAGAATTCCTGTCTTGGACTCTTCCTCGTCGCACTTGTGTATCTTCGTGACTTCCCCGCGTGTAGACTTCTGCACTGCGCAGACTATCCAGTCTTCATGAGTATTCTCCTCTTATCTATGTATAACTTATTACCAGTCCTAAACATCATAGTTCCCTAACTTCCATAAAACTCACAGGTCCGAGCATCCTTGTGCTTATGTCCTTTCTCTTCTACCTTAGTCGCCATCACGTAAGCTTTCTTCATACAAATTCATTACAAATCTTCGGCGCATAATGGTGCACGACGCGCCATCACGGGCTATTTTTCATTCCACAAGTCGTTCCTTAAGAGGGTGAATGGAGCGATACATTGATCGTATAACCTGTTGGCTTACAGGAAAGGATGGGTCGTAAAAGATAATTTTGATACTGTTTATTATCTTGTCAGACCACGAGTATCATGATCGTTCCTAAAAATCGAATGCAATCGTGCGATTTAAGCTATACTAAAGTGAAATCAGCACAAAAAATCTACACTCATTGTCAATACAAGACAGAGACATTCGCCAATCGACGCCGTCTGCTATCAATCTTATAACAAGCCGCCTAGACAATTCCCTTAACCGAAGTTACAACTTGGCTCTAAACCTCACCCGCCCACAGGCTCAAAAACTTGGGCGTAGAGTTTCAGCGTTGCCACCTGCACCAACCTAAAATCTTGTGCCCAGTTGTTGGCCAGATTGAAACATTAAAAAAGTCTCTTGCACCGTAAAATAAATTGCTAAATGATGGCAGTGCTAAAAAAAATCAAGCTTGCGAAGTCGCGCCCTCCCACGTTCATTCACCAATTGTCGGTCGCAACCATGACTATGGAAACATGGGCGTAGGTTGTCGTGGCGTGGTCAAGGGAGCTAACGTCCATTTTGAAACTCTTCTTCCAACGTGGTTTGCAGAGGAAATGGTATAAGCGTAACTATTACGCCTGGATGAACAAAAAATTGTTACGTGGTACCGAACGCTTACACTGAAGAAAGACTTATGCATAAAATGATTATTTAGAAAGGTCAAACGGTAGAACTTTATTTCGTATAGTTAATTCGCCGTCCATTAAATCTGTAATCGTCTACTAAATATGTTCAAATAAAAACATAAAATATCTGTACAGTCCTCCTCCCCGTAAGTTATCCCCTACATGGTATAACCTCTGCTAAGTTATATAATTTCGGGTCCACCGACGCCGTTTTATGGCGACTATGGAATGTAAAATATGGAATACCCGCCCAGGCCCAATATAACGTATTAGGGGGAGCAACTTATAGTCAAGAGTCGATGAATGTTTTTTGGAGCATCCTTGGAACGGGGCACCCTGAAGCTTGTACTGGTGACAGTACAAGCTACTTATTCTGACGACAGAATAAGGCGGTGCTTCGGAACTTCACGTACACTCGTACGTGCAGAGGAAGACGGTAAGAAGAAGCGAGTACTTTGTTTAAGTAAAAAGTAGAACTGTATTTATCATAGATAATGTATGTTAATAAATCACTATTTATCCTCATCTAACGATGTCTAAATACAAATGTGCATGTCAACTATCTGCTCACCGCTCATTGCGTGCGTCTGTCGTGGCGTGTCTTCGTTGGTTAATGTAATGGCCTATATCAACCACTTAGGAACTACTCGTAAGTGCTACAGAATATTTGTCCTTATGACAATATTCCGAGAATATAACTCTTATAGTTATATTCTATTAACAATTTCTTATAAATTGTTATGTAACGATTCACCCCGTTACAATCCTGGAGCCTATTTAAGCCTTGAATCCAGTGTGGTATGGATTGTATTAGCATTATGAAGTTGGGCTTGAAGCGACGAAGAGCGCGGTGGGCGGTGCGGTCTCGATCCTGGGAGAGATCAAGGAGGGGAATAGACAAAGCAAGAGCAGCGAGCTTTTCAGCTATGCAATGTGTCACCACCTCCTCCTCAGCTTCTCCTTCCTCCTCCTCTTCAGCATCCTGGACGAGCTTGATGATCTCGGCGTCGCTTAACTCCGCATGCACCGTCGGCTCCTCATCAACTGGATTGAGCAGTGACGCAATAGACATCGGATTACGCAAAGGCAGGCATTGCAGAGCTGACTCCAGATTCTTCTCCACTTCCTGCTCCTCCTGGTCACCCAGAGCTGCATCCAGTTGCACAGGCTGCTGAATGTCCCCTGCTGAAGCGCCTCCTTCAACTGCTAATGAAGTCGGCCCATTCATGAGTCTAGTGTGCTTGAAGGAATTCGTAATGGTGGTGCTCGAAATCTTGCTCCACGCCATAAAGTGACCAACGCATGGCTGTGACTTGATTAACTTTGTAGAGATCGGCCGCTCCCGCATCATCGCGATTCAAAGCGTTCTGTAGGTACAGACGCTGGTAGTGGCGCTTGAATGCAGCGATGATACCGGCGTCCATTGGCTTCACCTTGGATGCAGTTTTGGGCGGCAGAGCCTGAACGGTGACGTTGGTAAGCACAAGATTTAAAGGTAAGGCGAAGGTGTATTTTCCATAAGCAGAAGGATTTTTTATCCTAGCGCAAGAATCTGGGTAAGTGCTTTGTTCTGCAGCTGTTACCTCAGAATGGGCAAATGCTCAGTTACCTTCATGTCTCTGTCCAGGTTTCCAAGCCATTCCTGGAAAAAGACCCCAGTCATCCAAGATTTATTGTTGTAGCGATAAAGAAACCCTAGCTCTTCTCCTAACTTCCGTTGGAAGCAACGAGGCTTCCTTGCACGGTTGATGAAGGTTGGAGGGAGATTATCAAATCCATCAGCATTTGCCGTCAAAGCCACTGTGATGCGAGTCTGACAAACATGTCAGTTATTTCATCCATCCCACGGATTTCAACAAACCAAATGCAACTCACTTTGTCTTTTTGAAGCCTTAAACTTCCTTTTGAGCAATGGTTTTATCCGGTGTCATGCTGTAAAATAATCCTGGAAATCATCTTGGCATTTATGACACAGAGCATAAAAGATTTCAGGAGTATTTACCAGTTTCGTCCATGTTGTACACATCACGGGGAGCAAACTTAGCGACGGCTGCTTGCAACTCTGGTAGAGCTGCTTCAATCCCAGCCACATCAGCTGAATCGCTCTCGCCATGGATACGGACGGCCCTTAGCTTGTGGCGCTGCTGGAATTTGTAGAGCCACCCATAGGCAAACTTGATTGATCCATCCGGAATATCCATGGACGCTGCAAATCTTGCAGCTTTGGCACATGTAAGGTCTCCACTGAGGGCAACTCCACGATGCTGGCACTGCAAAATCCAGAGAGCCACTGCTTCCTTCAAGGCAGGATGTTGAACTGAGCGGGGACGCTTAGCAGAGAGCTCTGATGGACTCATTGCTTCAAGCTCCTTCCTCATGCCGATGATCTTGCTGATTGAGGCCTGCGTCATAGATTTGGGGAGGCCGAATGCCTCCTTCATCATAGATTTGGGGGGGCCGAATGCCTCCTTCTTCCAGTTTCCAAGCTCTGTCCGGGAGAGGCTCGGATGATCATCCTTATGTTTGATAATCCTCAGCTTCTGGTCGTTGGTGAGACGTAGTTGAGACATCTCTGATGTGTGGGTGGGTAAGTGGGTGGGAGGGTGGGAGGGTGTGGGGTTCTGGGTTTTTGAGAGCAGTTGCTGGTTTGGGAGAGGAATGGAAGTGGACAGGAAGCGAGAGAGGGAAAGCGAGAGGGAAGGTGAGGTGTGGATGTAGGAATGTAGGACTATTTGTTTGGTCGGGGGAGAAAAAGGGTGCCTTTAATACCCCGACCTCCGGTGGCCAGCCCGCCAGGCGAGTTGCAAAAGGTTGCACAATCGTGCACAAAATGTAGACAAGGTACAGTACTTTAACTGTGTACGAAGGTATATAACTGTGTTTGGTTCAATAAATCAATTGGGTGTGATACAATCAATTGATTGTGTTTAATTAAATGTGTTCAAGTTGGATTCAATGCACTCACAAAGACAATGCATTGTACGCACAAGGACTCCACAATTTCTATAGGCGGTGCCCAGACGCGTCCCCCACCAGAAGTGTAAAGAAAATGTTCTGTGGTCCGCTATTTTGATCAATAAATGACAATCGTGATACTAATACTAATGGTTATGCACATATTGTACTGTATTGATAAGTAATAAAATAAAAAATGGTCAGCTTTTTTTATCGTTAATTAATTGAATATTCCCAAATGGAATAACCACCGGTAAATTATAGAATCTGGCCTCCACCAAGGCTATAATTTATGGGGGGAGGACTGTATTTGCTCACCCTTCATTGCGTGCTTCTGTCGTGAATGCTCACCACTCATTTCGTACTTATGTCGTGGCTATACTTCATTGGTTGATATCTTGATCCTGTAATTATTAATAAGCAGTTTGTTGCATCTGCGAAGCAACATAATCGATCAAAACTTTTTGTGAGAATATTGTCTTTATCCTAACATTATTGAACCGTGATAATTACTTTTACAATTTATATAATAGAGGCACCCCGTTACACGGGAGGTGTAACGGGGCACCCTGAAGCTTGTACTGGTGACAGTACAAGCTACTTATTCTGACGACAGAATAAGGCGGTGCCTCGTGACTTCACGTACACTCGTACGTGCAGAGGAAGACGGTAAGAAGAAGCGAGTACTTGGTTAAAGTAAAAAGTAGAACTGTATTTATAATAGTTAATGTCTGCAATAAATCACTATTTATCTTCATCTAACTATGTCTAAATACAAATGTGTAAATCAGTTATCTGCTCACCACTCATTGCGTGCGTCTGTCGTGGCGTGTCTTCGTTGGTTATTATAATGGCCTATATCAACCAATTAGGAACTACTCGTAAGTGCTACAGAATATTTGTCCTTATGACAATATTCTGAGAATATAACTCTTATAGTTATATTCTATTAACAATTTCTTATAAATTGTTATGTAACGATTCACCCCGTTACATCAGCCCCCCCTTAACCATCAGTCACTTTAGTGACTGATTGACTAAATGGATCCTCGTCCCAAATCATTTGGGACAGAGTTTGCACTTGTTGGTCCGCGTCCACTTTCCAACATCTCATCGCATGGTTAACAAGCCCATGCGATGCGCGAGCAAGGCCGCCGAGAGCGCGTCTGCACGTCTCTGTGCGGACGCCGAAGCAGAAACAACAGCAACTGATGTCTCATCGGTTGCTGAAGCGACTGCTGAAGCGACTCAGCCTGTGTCACTTGGTGATGCAGGCGCTGGTCATGAAGACACTCGTGTCTTCACAGAGTACGAGCTCGGTGTCTCGTACTCTCCTGATACGGATGACGGATCCGTATCGACGGCGATTGAATCTAAGCCGCCTGCCAAGCGTGGCATGGATGATGCTTTGCGTCGCAGCATCTTTGGTTCATCTGATTCATCAGATGAACCATCGCCGAAGCGAAGGCGCTCGAGGTCGCGAGACTCGGGCGCTAATAGTGGTGTCGGTTCTCCTATGGACACCACTTCACAGCGAGGTGCCAGTGCTTCTGTCGGCACGTCGCAGGAAGAGCGGGACCGCAATGTCTTGCGTCTCGCTCCAGAAAAGAAGGCATGGATGCCTCCGAAATCCGTCATGGATCACTTGTCGGCGACGACGAGTGATCGTTATCGAACACGATTGTTCGATTCGTCAAGGATCCATCACCTTGACCCCAGCGCGAAAAACTATCGCGCTGAACACGAGTTCTTCATCGATGCTTTCTTCAAACATCGATGGTACAGTGGGAATCACAAACGTGATGGTCCCTCACTACTTCAGGCGTGGAACGCCTACATCCATAACCTCGAGGATGTAGGTCGTGACGCTTGGAACGACAAACTTATCAAAGCTCGTGATAAGTTTGAAAAGCGAACCCCGACAGGTGCACGCTACAAGCTGCATCGTCTGTCAAGGGATAAAGGATTACCCTGCCTCTCTTGGGGAGACTCGTGCCCATGTTGTGTGAACAACTCTGCACGAGCACCTAAGGAGGCTTACCTCCTTACCAGCCCGTGGTGGCGCGTACGTGTCTCTACTGAGATGTACGAAGGGATTGACAACCCGAAATCCCTTTACGACCGTGCCGGGAAGACTTTCTCCGGCGGTCCTTCTGCGGCACAGGATGTGCCGCGTCGTACTGCTCAACCAGACCCAGTACGTCGATCATCAGTTGGGAGCGGGGCTCCCAAGAATCCCAGGACGGGGGATAGCCGCGCCACCGGACGAGATAACTCGTCCGACGTCCGTTCACATCGCGGTGGTTCAACAGCTGCTCAACTAGATAGCGCTGGCCACCGCGAGAGTCCTCTAATGGAGGTGGAGGAGGAGGAAAGACGCTCTCCACACGATCATGTGGATCGGTGTGTTCCCGAGAGCTTCTTTGATCGCGTAACGCAAGGGTTACGCGACGATCTCGAGCATGAGCGGAATAGGCGTCTCCAAATGGCGGACACTGCCTCGAAGCATCGAGCTGAGTTTGCCTTTGCTCAGCTTGAGAACGAGAGATCTCTAACATCTCTTCGTGACGAGCTAAGGGTAGCTCGTGGGATTGTTGATCGGTCTCGGGATGAGATAGCTGCTCTTCAGACCCTTGTTGATGCCCACCATCGGGAGCACAAGGCTCTCTGTGAGATGCTAGAGCGCAAGGGCGTTCTTCATCGGAAGAAGCAGCGTACTGATGGTACGGCTTAAGCCGACCAACGTAAAACGTGGGATGCGTTCGCATCTTACGTGGTAACTCGATCGTGTATGCATTGCCTAGGCGGTGCAATACACGAAATGGGCCAATGTACTTGGGTAGTAGTTTACTGCTACCCAAGTTAGTCACTACATGCTTTGTTAGATTAACCGTAGACAGTAGGACTAAGTCACCTTTTATTAAATAAAAGAGTGTTTGCCCTTCCATTCTTGTCAGCGTTTTGCTTTTGCTTATCCACCGCTTCGGCGATGGAATCTTGCACAAAACGGACTACCGTTTCACGAGCCAGTATGAACTCATCTGATGACTCTTTAGCTTCAGTGTGCTGTGAGCGCACTGCAGCAACAACAACCTTTTCTTCAGTGAGGGCTTCCGTACTCTCACTGGGATCATCTTCTTCAGTGAGGGCTTCCGCACTCTCACTGGCATCATCTTCTTCGATATCGATGTTGTTGATATCGGCATCAAACGCAATGACCTCATCGTCAGAGCGTGATGAGCGTGAACCAAATTGGTTTTTGCTCGCGCGAGTCCCTCCCCCCCTTAAACCAGAGTTACACTCTAGTAAGGTGGGTACACGCGGATTGCGCAAGCCATTCACGTAAAACGGTGTATGTGTCGTGGACGCATGCACCGAGTTGTTGATGGCAAACTCTACCATTGGCAAGAACTCACTCCAACTCTTAAAGGAGTGTACGTATCCTCGAAGTATCTCTTCAAGGACACGATTGGCACGTTCCGTCTGACCATCTGACTCTGGATGATCAGATGTTGACATCTTCAAGCGCGTTCCGAGTGATTTGAACACGGAACGCCAGAAATCAGCAGTGAATCGTGGATCTCTGTCTGATACGAGTTCACGGGGCAACCCATGAAGTCGGAAGATGGTGTCAATAAAGACACAAGCACAGCCACTTGCTGTGATTGTCTCTGGTACAGCCACAAGGTGTACCATTTTGCTGAATCTGTCAACAAATACGAGAATACCCGTATTCCCGCGTTCGTCTTTGGGTAACCCGAAGACGAAATCCATTGAGATGGATTCCCAGCACTCAGCCGGAACCGGTAGAGGCTGTAAAGGTGCACGCAGTGAAGGACTTGACTTCACTCGTTGACAGACTTCGCATGCGCGAACATACTTGCGCACAAACTGATACTGGCGGGGCCGGTAAAAGTCTCGACTTACCGTGAGATATGCTTTCTCTCGGCCACGATGTCCTCCTATAGGAGCATCGTGATACTCGAACATGATCCGCAAACGCAGATCAGTATCATCTGGAATGACAACACGTGGTGTGTCACCAGAAACGGCTGTATAATACAGTAAACCGTTGCGAGCAGTGTATCGATCTGATGCAGATCGATACGCAGACGACAATCGTTTCGACGATTCTCGAGATGGTTGGGAGAGATGTGTCAACAACTTCACAATCTCACCATCTTGGGCGTATGCCCGCCTCACATCATCATACAACGTTGTAGATGGGACTGAGGACGTCATAACCGCAACAGTGACTGTCTTACTGTTGGGTTTCGCGAATGTTTCAAAGTCGGGACGACGTGAGAGTGCATCAGCGACGACATTAAGTCGTCCTGGTTTGTATTCGACCGTAAAGTTGTATTCTGCAAAGAATGACAACCACCGCGCCATTCGTTGTGAAAGGTGCGGGCTGTTCACTGCCGTGCGTAATGACGCATGGTCAGTATAAACAATGAAGGGTCTATCTCCTAATAGATAGACTCTGAACTTCGCTAGTGCATACTTCATAACAAGGAGTTCCTTGTCATGCACTGGATAGTTCCGCTCAGCTGGTTGCAGCTGACGCGACTGATAGCAGACGACGCGTTCAACGCCTTCAAGATCGTACTGCATT